GCAGCTGATTGAATGTGTGTTTTTGTGGCATGATGGTCTAAGTTTCCCCTCCATGATTCACACCCTCACACCTCCCTGCCAAAGGGTGGTCGGCCTGGTCGGCCGCCAGGCCGCCACAGCCGGACGTCATCCGCCTGGCCACGTTGGGATGCGAAGAGATGCCGAATCTGGGCACACCCATCTGCACGTGTGAAGCATCTGTGTAGAGGTGAGCCATCTGGCAAGTTGCGTCATGCAAGCATGGACATCTACACAAGAAAGCGAGATGACTCAGATCGATCAACACGGCAATCGCGAGATGCCATCATTTTGCAGCTCCTGCCCGCTGCACACCTCGACAAGACGTGCAGCTTAGTCTTGCCTAGTTCGGTCCTGAGACTGCCCATGGAGAGAAAATGGATCTGAAAATCTCTGAGCCTATCTTTAAAAGAACGCACGTTTAATCAGGTCATGTTCCAAAGTTTATATAATGTCTGTCCGAGGGCCGTGCTCGGCTCAGCATACGTCCTTTGCAAACTACCCCATTGCGGGGGGAGAGATAAAATAGGTGTAAATAGGTCCCTGCCCCTGCCGCTGGCAGCCAGCTCGTTCGGCCCTTCTGTACATCTGCACATCCGAGAGCAGGGCAGTTAAAATCCGCGTTGCATAACGGCAAGCCGAAGGGGGAAAGACAATGCGGTGAAAACACTCTGCACTAAAAAATGGGACACTCTCAGGTCAGATCGAGCTGTTCGCTGAGCTCTTGCTGGCCTATCTCACCTTCGCTGCGTGGCACCAGCTTGGGACATTGAGACACATGTTTCTCCTTGTCGGCCAAGCGGATGCTCTCTTTGCAGCCCTGGCATCTGATCATGAGGTTCGAGATCTTGCGTCGATCGCGCGGTGCCCGGACGATGCCCTCGCCAAGCTCTCTGCACACGGGGCAAGTGGGATTGTCTTCGGCCATCCATCTGATCCAGCAAATCTCACAGAAGAGATTTCCACAGTCATGTGCCATTGCATTCCGTGCGACACACATACAAATGGGGCATTGCATGCTGGCCGCTTCTGCCACATCTAGCCACTGCTCATCATAGCCTCCATCTGGCTCCGCTGAAGTAGTGGTATGGGATGGGGCTTGCTCTGCTGCGTCCGCTTGCTCCCTCCCTGGAACTCCCACCACGATCAAATCGAACCGGTGAGGACCAATGCGATAGCTGTACCTGCCCTCTGAGCTGCCATGGTCCCAGTCCCATCTGACCCTCACGCCCAGGCGTCCTTCACCGGTGGTAATCCCAAGGCCTCCTGCACCTCCGTCCTGGTCACTATAAGACCAACCAGGGCCTCTCCTCACCCGGACGCCCGCCTGCGCTGACCTCAGCACTTCTCCAGGTTGTGCTGAAGGCGCTTGGGCAATGATCAAGTCATAGGTGTCATTGGCACCAACTTGGTAACCATTGGTGTTGCCGTGGTCCCACCTGACTCTCACCCACCCTGGGCCACTCGCCTCCACCGTGGTTCCCAGACCTCCTCCATCCTGATCACCCCACTCCCAACCTGGAGCTGCCCTCACTCGGACACCCACCTCAGCAGAGCTCAAGAACGAAGATTGGTCGACAATGAGATCATAGCTTCTTTCGACCCGATAGTTGTACTCACGGCCGTGAGCATCCCACTTCACAAACACCCAGCCATCACGGTCACTACCTTCAACCGTGGTGCCTAGACCTCCTCCATCCTGGTCATGCCACTCCCAGTCTGGACCTCTCCTCACTCTGATGCCCACCTCCGCAGACCTCAGAACTTCTCCAGGTCGCACCATAGGCGTAGCCATCGCGTCAGAGGTCTCAAGGAGCTCGACGGCCCTCAGCGGAGCCCAAAGATTTCTCCACCTCGTTGGGATGAACCAATCTCCACGTACTTCATGAACAGTGCACGTGTCGCCCACTGAGAAGCTCAAATCTGTACCCGGGCACTCGGCAAAGTCAACGTTTCGACTGTCTTCTGTGAACCTCACTCTGCTCCCCACCGTGATGTTCCGCTGGGAGCTTGGGGAGCTTGCTTGGGCCACGATCAAGTCATAGTGCCCCCCACGGCCGACTCGATAGCTGTTCGTGCCGCCGTTGTCCCATGTGACCTTGACCCAGCCTGGGTCTGGATCAGCTCGTGTGGTGCCTAAACCTCCTCCATCCTGGTCGCCCCAGCTCCAATCGGGTCCTCTCCTCACTCTGACGCCCGCAATGCAGGACCTCAAAACTTCTCCAGGCTGCACTGAAGGTGTTGGAGAGAGATCAATCATCACCAAGTCATGACATCCTTGTGCACCGACCCTGTAGTTGCTTGCCCTGCTGGCATGGTCCCACCTTACACGAACCCAGCCATCTTCATCAGCACCTGGCACCGTGGTGCCTGGACCTCCTCCATCCTGGTCATGCCACTTCCAATCAGGTCCTCTCCTCACTCTAATGCCTACCTCTGCAGACCTCAAAACTACACTTGGAGTGGCCAGCACCTCCAGATCTTCAGATTCTGTCTCGGTGCTCGTCTGGCTGCTTGCGCTGGCTCCACTGGCCTCAGCCACTCTCAAATCGTACCTGTCAGAAGCACCCACTCGATAGCTGCATGTCCAAAGCAAATGGTCCCACCTCACTCGCACAAACCCTGGATCAGGATCCTCCTCTGTAGTGCCCAAGCCTCCCCCATCCTGGCCACCGTACTGCCAATCAGGCCCTCTTCGCACTCTGATGCCTACCTCCGCAAACCTCAGAACTTCTCCAGGTTGTGCTGATGGAGCTGGGGACGCGTCAATGTTGAGGTCATAGCTTCCATCTGCCCCGACCCTGTAGCGGTTGGCCTTGCAGGCCTGGTCCCACTTCACGCGCACCCAGCCATCTTCAAGATCGTCGGCAGGCACGGTGGTGCCTGGACCTCCTCCATCCTGGTCGCCCCACCTCCAATCAGCTCCTCTCCTCACTCTGACACCTACCTCTGCAGACCTCAACACTGACGCGGTTGCCATCTTCAGCTTACCCAGCTTGAGCCGGTAGCAAGCCAACTTCAACAAGTACATGGCCAAAAGCAGCTAGCAAGGCTAAAGGCAACCGACAACACCTACTTCAACACTAACATGTCCACAATTCACCTGGCCCAGCGGATCCCTCTTCTCTCGACTCTGTTTGTAACGTGCTCCATAGCCCAGGCCTTCAGCCCTCATTGAAGCAGCAGCTGCCATATCATAGCCGTGGAAGGTCCCCAAATTTATAGCTAGCACAACATAAGTCTCCATGAGCTGCCTAATGGATTGGCTCACTGATCCCCAATGAACTAAGAAATTAAGAAGAGCCTTGAGGTCCATCAAGTAGAACAGCCTTGCTCAAACAAATACAGTAAGCGATGTACAGCACGGTTTTATGAGCTGAAGTTCTCAAGGTGCAAGCCTAGAAATCTTGCAGAAATCTTGCGAATGCGCTGCCAAAATAACACATCTGCTGACATGGAGGCCATGTGCACAGGTGTCGGCTGAAAAGTGGCACATGCAACGTAACTCACAGTTGTTCCTCAACCACATCCGCACGAAGGCTTTTACTCCTGGACCCTCTTCGATCACATCCATGAGCGCCATGAGCATGAGACGAAGCAGGGCAGTCGGCATTTGTCCGGCCACCGGGTGAAGCAATGATTTATGGCATCACTAAACGATCAATGTGGTAGACCTTGTCTTAGCTTAGAGCTTCACCAAGCAAGAAGACCCCTTCACATCGCTCCCATCCCTCACCGCCGCCGTCCCCTGCTTCGGCTGCTCCGTCGCCGCGGGCTGCGCCGCGCGCGGCTGTCGCGCCGCGGGGGGGTGCGCCGCCGTGGAGGGCTCCGCCGCACGCTGCGGCTGCGCCGCCGCGGGGGGCTCCTGGACCATCGGGCCACAGGGGGCGTGTTACTTCGACACCATGGCACTTGAGTAGTCAGAACTCTGATGATTGGCAACTACTATTGCTATTTGACGGCTGTTTCTATGGTTATGGGTCAAGAAAACGCAGGGCCGACCGTAAGTCTTCGGGTTGGTTTTGAGGCTTTTGGGGTGTTGCGCTTTAAACCTGCTGGCGGAACCCACTCCTCCGCGGGGATCTCGACATCCATCTTGGCTCCTGGACAGACGTGGTGTGCCAATGACGTTGAAACGGCACTGATATGGCCATATGGCTCTTGTTTAAGTCAAAAAACTGGACTTACACCCTTGTCTGAATCTCTCCCCATGACTCAGGACCTCAGGTCTCACCTCCCCGGGCCCCCGCGTCATCACGAGCGTGTCGCCTGCCGCTCCACCCGCTCGACCGCTGGGACGACCGGAGCCACCGGAGCCACCGGCGCCGCCGGAGCCACCGGCGCCACCGGAGCCGGCGGCAGCGCCGGTGGGGCGCCCGGCGCGCTGAAGCCGAAGCCTCACAAGGGCAGGTCGTGGTGCTTGGGAAGTGAGTGGATGTGATGTGCAAAGCAGGGCGATTCCTGAAGTGAGAACAATGGTCTAAGAATCAACAGCTGGATCAGTCGGATGTCTGCCAGGCAACCCATGTTGGCCACATTCTTCTGCGCCTCTGCGATCAAATTGGCCTCAAATCAGAGAAAGCGAAGCCAAATGTTCCAGGCCATCATACAGACACAACATGCAGAATATCGATGCAAGCTTGGTCAGGCCAATAGTGCCAATTACATCAAAATTACAAAACCGAGTGCTTGCGGCCGAACAAGCCCACATGAGTCGTCCCAGGCGCAGTGGGCGATCTTGCCATAATCAAGTTGCCCACCTCCAACTTCCCTGGATTCCCGATCGCGCCGGCGTTGGGTGCTCCGGCCACATTGGCTTTGCTCAAGCCAACCTGGACGTCGTGGGAATACTTGCAAGCATCACCGCCTGTCAGCCCGAGTCGTCTCGGAGACCATCGACCGCAGTCGGTCGATTTGGAGCCCAGGTTGCACTTTGTGGAGGGGAAGAGTTCCCGAGGGTGGGGGGGGGTGCTGAACGAAACATCCTTCTCACATACCACCTCCAAATCCTGCTGGCTGGATAGTTCTGGAGCTGAAGCATAGATTTGATGTGGTTCTGCAGAAAGTAGACTCGAAGGAACTCACTCTCACAGTGAGTACAAAAGCCTTGGCCATCCTCTAACATCCTCTAGCAAGGGGTTGAGGAAGTCCCTGTAATGCTCCCTGTTTAACGGAAATAGAATGCCTCAGGAAGCGGACTCCTTGGGGCCCCCGGCGATTGCAGTGCCCGCGCCGGTAGTTGGCGCAGAACTCTCGACCGCCGCCAATGTTGGTGCCTGGAGATGGGGGTTGGGCCCAACCTGCCCAATCTGCACCTGCTGTGGTGTTTCTTGAGAAGCTGGGCTCCAAAACAAGCCTGCACCCCATAGTGGCCAGGGCTAATCAGCTGAGCTCAGCTGGAGAGTTCAAGGCACCTTATGTGAGGAAACCTGCCTACCTTTGGACATGAGAAGTGGACACCACCCTCACCTTGCCTGCTACCACCAAGCTTGGTTTCAAGAATCTAGAAGGCTCTGTCAAGTTCTGGCAGCTCCTTGTTCTATCTGTTAGTCGTTCCTGTCATCGCCCATAGCGGGCCTTTCTCTGCATTGATGGCCTGACGAGTTTGGCGAGTTTTCCGAGTTGGTGTGCAGAATTGGACTGATGGCCGGGCTTGCGATTACCTCAAACAACTAACATCATTAGCAGCATTGACATCAGTGAGAGTATGATAAACAGGTTCGTTTGTTGTGAAACCACTGTGTCTAACAATGGACCTCGCTGCTTATTTAGCCACCGGGTTGTTCTGCTTGTGGTCGCACACTGACTGACTGAGTGAGCATTCTGAATTGCACATCTTTGACACCGGGTTGCTTAAACAATTCCTCCTAACGGGCACTCTGCACCTCATCTCTTCAATCTGGCGCACCCGGCCCCACCTTCTCCATGTCACTGAGCTTCACAATCAGGAAGCCAGCCGGGTTGCGTGCCCTAGACAGGCAGGAACGGAAGTCCTGAAGGTCCTGGGCAGGCCATGGCGCGGCGTGGGGATGTGTGCGGACCAAATGAAAGTCTCTTGAATGCGATGCGGTCACGAAACTCTGCACCACTCAAATTATGCAATTCCAACTCCACACAAACGGCACAGTTCAGAAAACACAAAGTTCTACACACCAATGGTGTGATTTGGTGTGATGTTCACAATCTTTAATGCCCAGCGTCAGCTCCCCAGCGATCCCCGCGAAGCTTGAGCGCCTGGCATTGATTCCACTTTGGGCTGTGTTCAACATTCCCACCGATATATGCCCTCATGCCGGCAAACATTGACGTGGACAACGACCTGTAATTATGCAAAGGAAAATGGTCTTTCTAGGGGCTATTGTCCACGTCCATGATGGTTGCATGTCGCATCTCAGCACTGAATGCAGTGGCTCTCCCTCTTTGCTAGATGCAGCCTGATACCCCAACCCCTTTGCCAGCATCCACTCCCAAACAGCGCTGACCCAAACAGCGGCCAGCTGCAGATACCTCGATGAGGCGTATCTCAATCTTCTTGTCCAGAATCTTGTACTGCGACATGAGGTTCTGAACCTCCAAGAGCGAGCGGCACGCGCACGAGCGCTGGGGGGAGATGGAGATCCGCCGCGGCATACAAACACCGCGCAAGGGTTGAGACAAAGCTGGACGGCTAGGCTTTTGTCATTGACGACTCTTCTAGTAGGACAGGAACTATGTCCCATCGCTTCGCTATTTGGCTGAACTCATCTTTTTTAATCTTCACCTGATTGCCGAAGCATCTGTGCTGCTGCTACTTGAGGAGTAACAGTAACACCGGAAAACGCTGACCAAAGTTTAATCCGTTCGTGTCCCAAGGAATCAACGTTCTTGAAAAACACATTGGAGAAAAACACTGCTCCATCTGGGGGTGAAACAACACCGCCGACATGGTCCGACACCGCCGTCGGCCACCTCTGATGTGATGTCGCGATCTGAGAGTCCTCTGTGTGTGATCGGGGGGCGCAAAAAGGGCGAATGTGGATTTCTCAAGCCAAGAAATGGTGAGGACCCATGGCAACCTGGAACGGGCATCCTTCCCAACCACCACGCGCAATCTTTAGATGGCTGATGGACCGGAGCCAAAGCTCATGACCAGAGCCAAAGGTGGGTCATCATGGGAGATCATCAAACAGAGACACCCCAAACCAACGTCTGCGCGCCATCAGAGAGGGTCCCGGCGTCACCCCAGGACTCCTCCAAAAGGACCTCCATCCGGTAGATCAGCATACTCTTGCTGTTGCATCTGCCTCCCCACACCCGTGTTGACCCACACTCTGGCCGGATATGCGTGCAGTAACTTGGACCAGCACGTTAATATGTCATTTGCAACTGACAAACTGTTGGCATTGGGTCATGACTCCCCCAAAAAGAATCATCTCGCGATGGGCTAAGCGCTCAACTGGTAGGCAAGCAACGCTGCCGTATCCAAACTGCTCGCTTTTCCTGTGTCGTTGGGGACATTATCCCACAACGCGAAACCGTCTGATCAAACAGGAGTGAGTTCAGAATCCTTTTGCATGCTGTGTTGTCAAATGAACTGAGTAGCTGAATTGCGAAGAGCTTTGAATGGTGATAGCAGTTTATAATCGTATGCAGTTATATTGTATGTGTTTATATATATATATATGTGAGGTAGAATCAGGTAGAAGCTGGTCAAACACCGATGTAGTTGTTACACCGTGAATGTGTGTGTGTGTGTGTGCGCGTGGGTTGTGAAGAGCCTTTTCCACGCATGCATGCATGCATGCGCGTGTTGCCGCAACAACTGAAAGCCATGCCTGCACTGCCAACAGCATTACCGACCTCCTAGCAGCGACACGTGGCTGAGTTCAATACCATGGACCACAACTGCAACTAAAACACCAAAAGCTAGGATGATACATGATATACATGATTTATGCCATGGGTTTGGTGGCCACTTGTGGGTCCTTCCATGATGAATCATGGAACAACTCTCCTGAGCTTGCGGAGGTGGTGGAGGCAAGGCCGGAGCCG